TGGATTTTGTTACAGGTCTGCGAGCCGGACCCAGCAGAAACGACGCACTATTGGTTGTCGTCGACCGATTGATGAAAATGGTGCATTTCATACCATGTCATACGACAATCATAGCCGAAAAGGTGGCACGACTATTCATCTCGACCGTTGTTCGACTATACGGGATACCAGCAACAATCATTAGCGATCGAGACCCGAAGTTCATGTCCAAATTTCGGCAAGACACATGGACTCGGTAGGGCACGCGCCTGCGATTCTCATCCGCCTATCATCCGCAAACAGACGGTCAGACAGAGAGGCCAAATCAAATGATGGAGAACCTAGTACAGACAAACTGCCCCAACTGGAACAAATGGGAGGATGCGTTGCCCATGTTGGATTTTTTTCTACGACAACGCGCCCTCAGCTACGACTAATCACTCACTGTTCTACCCCAATTACTTTATGGACCCGACAGTACCTATCTTCACCAACATTGAGAGTCAAGTACCACGATTGCAGGAGTTCATAGAAGAATTACAGACTGCCCGGGACACTAAGAATTTACGACGGCCGCTACTGACAAAATTACGACCACACTTCTGTGGCCCGTTCAAGATCATGAAAATGGTGACGACGGTGACTGCCCAGCTACGCCTACCTGAAGATTGGCGTATTCATAACACGTTCCACGTGAGCGTGTTGCAACCTTTTGTACCTTACACGTCGGACATCACTTATTGGAAATGATAAAAGGACTTCAGGCATTTCCAGAGTCTCGCGTGATATACCAAATACGCGAAGACTACAACAGCGAGGACTACCGAGTCAACACCGCTAAAGTAACCGTGACGATTCACACAAGTTGATGATACCTCATAGAGGCTTCGAAAGGGCAACGGTCGCAGACCGTTGACCGTGCAACCCAACAGTCAAAATCGCAAGAGTCAGCGTGACTGTAAGGACAAATAACCGTCCCGATATTATAGTACGGGTGGTTACCCAAGTCGCCTTTATCGAGCCGTAACAAGGGAATGTACCCCTCGAAGTGTACTCTCTTGTATTAATATATAAACCTTGTATCCCCTTGCTATAATCAATTACTTGTTCTCATATACCAGTATAAGGGTTCAACTTAAGACTTCAGCTGTGCTATTAAGCACTCTGTTACAAGGACTTAGCATTCTGTAAATATCCTAGGGCTATATGTTAGACTGCAAGTATGAGTAGCAGGAGAGAGTACAAGGGAATATAGGCTAGTGTGTTGTACCCTCTAAGGCACAAACCTATATAGTCTACAATAACATACTAAGTTATGTTTGACACACTCCCTAGACTATATAGGGGCAGTGCCTAACAGGATAACAAGGAGCTCAGGGCGGCACTACTAGTCCAGCCTCTGAGGCAAGGGTCTAAAGACCAGTCAAAAGGAGTACATACAAAGACAAGAGCAACACAAGGACGGCACTACTAGTCCAGCCACTGGGAGAGGCCACAAGGCCAGTCAGGGTAATATATATATATCGGAGGATCATGGCCCTGTTGTCAGCGTACACGACTGGGGCAAAGCTAGGCCGCTCACCTAAGTCGGTGAGCAAGAAGGTCAGCCAGCGGAGCTCTTGTGCCGCCATGGCACCGGTGAAGATCTCAGCCTCACAGCTGGACTGGGCAACAGACGAGGAGCGGGTAGCTCTCCACGAAACAGCACTTGAACCAAGGCTAAAGCAGAAGCCCTGAGAGTCTCTGCATCGTCTGCCCAAAAAGCGTCTATGTGTCTAGTAAGGACCACTGGCCTGCGTCCTCCCAGCACTAGCCCCATGCCCTATGTACTTGCAAGATAACACAAAACCCTCTTCGCGGCCGACCAGTGTTGTGGTTGGTGTCTGCCTGTGGCCACAAAGCGAGCCAGGATGCTGAGAGGGTATGCGAGATCTGGGCGAGTGCAAGTCATCAGGTACATGAGGCAACCCACCAGCTCTGCGTACGGACCACTGGGCTCTACAGAGTCCTCAGGAACAAGAGCTGAGAGCGTGTGGTCCACTGACAGAGGTGTGGGCTGTGCAGAGGAGAACTGAAGACAGAACTGCTGAAGGACCTGGCGCACCAAGTGTGACTGTGAGAGAGTGATGGTGCACGCAGCTCTGTTCCTGGAAATCTGCAGGCCCAGGTAGTGGCGCAGTTCTCATTGGTCAGTGCAGATGTGTCTCTTCAGCAGCTCTACCTTCACGAAGGCCAGTGCATCCCTGTCTGCAGTAGCGAAGACCAGGTGATCTACGTAAACAAGGATGTAGAACGGGGTCTTGCCAGCACGAACGAAGAGCAAGGGGTCGGCAGAGGACGGGACGAACTGCAGGTTATCTAGGGTAGCGCGCAACGTGTCGTGCCACTCACAGGGCGCCTGCCGCAGGCCGTAGACTAGGCACTGCAGGAGGCAATGGATCTCAGGAGGGAAAGTACCAGTAAAGCACTGAGGGAGGCGCAGGTAGACCTTCTTGTGTAGGCTGCCTTGAAGAAAAGCTGTGGAGAAGTCGAGGGAGTGTAACTCGTAGTCGCGCTGTGCTACTACATGTAGCAGCGCCCTAAGAGTAGTCATCTTCGGGGTCGACGTGAAGGTCTGAAAGAAGTCCACCCCCTCACGCTGACTGAAGCCTCTAGCCACGTAGTGTGCCTTGAACACAGGCGGCTCTCCAGGGGGGCGCTTCACCTTGAAGAGCTAGCGGCCATCGACTACGTTCACCCCAGGTGGGGGAACTGCGTCGACGTAGGTGCTGGTGGATCTCCAAGTTGCCATCTCCTTCTCCATGGCAGCTATCCACTGAGAGGCCTAGGGTCTCGAGGTGGCCTCAGCGTAGGTGCGAAGGGTCAGGATGTCGAAGGCGCTGGGTCACCCTCAAGGACTAGTAGCATGGAGCAGAGATAGGGAGCAGCCTCGGACAGGAAAGCAAGCTTGTACTGCCGGTCCTCCAAGACATCACTGCCAAGGGCAGAAGCACCCCCGACGGACGGAGGACAGGCAGGGTCGGACACAAAAGCGGTGGCATGAGGACGAGTGGCACGAAGGTAGTCAGACAGAGGGGGAGGCGCAACAACAAGTGAGGACAGAGGAGGCGACGGCATGAGGGGAAGACGAGCCGGAGACGAGTCCGGAGGAGGGAACCCAGGGCCGTAGACAGGAAGAGGAGGAGACGGTAGGAGAGGGGTAGACGTACCGTCAGGGGAGGGAAGACTGAGCAGGCCGAGGGCGGACACCGGCGGCGACTGCTGCTGCGGCGGCTGTACGATGCGGACACCTGGACCTCCAGATACTCCACGGCTACCTCCGGAACACTCCACTCCAGCACCCCCAAACGGAACACCCCCGGAACCAGAAGCTCTCTCAGCATCGGCACCACCCCCAGGCCCGCCAGGACATGCCACGACAGGACTGCTGCAGCGGCGGTGAAAACGGCGGCTGCTGCTGCAGCGGCTGCGACGACGGCTGCGGCTGGAATGGTAGCTGCGGCTGCGATTATGGCTGCGACTGCGACGGCGGCTGCAGCTGCGACGGCGGCTGCGACTGCGACGGCGGCTGCAGCTGCGACGGTGGCTGCGACTGCGACGGCCGAGGCGGCGAGGACTGCGCCGCAGGGCCACTAGCGTCAGCAGACTCCTCAACCGGGATAGCCGACAAGAGGGGGGTGACGTGAGACACACCAGACGGGGCAGGGAGGGGAGGGGGGGGGGGCCAGGGGCGACCGGGGGAGGGGGAACCAAGAACAGGGGGGGAGTAATCGGGGGACCACGGTGGGGAAAGCGGTGGTAGAAGGAGACAGACTCGTCAAAGGTGACGTCGCGAGAGTGAAAGAAACGGTGAGACAGTGGGTGGTAGAAGTGCCAGTCGGACGAGTGGAGAGGGAAACCTAGGAAGACACAGGGGAGTGTGCGGGAAGTGAGCTTGCTCGTGCAAGAGGCACAAACGTGAACAAGGCAGCCCTAGACATAGAACTCAGACGCGTCACAAGGAGACCCGATCAAGAGAGGGGTCGGCGAGACCTGCGGTCACTGAGGGTGCGGCCAAAGGTTAAGCTGGTGAGCGGCGTAGCGGATGGCGAACGGCCACAGAAAATGGGGTGCACCGGCATGGATCATGGAGGTAGGAGCCACCTCCATGACCAAACCGATGCATCGCTCAGCGACCCTATTATGCTGCGGGGAGTCCGGCAAGGTGAACGTCTGGGTGATGCCCTCCGCACGACAGAAACGCCCAAGGCAACCAGAGGCAAACCCTTTGAGGGGGGGGGGGGGTATAAGGAACTTTCCATTCCTTAGCGCGCTACACCGCTAGCCTGTACACCGAACCGACACAGCACCGAACTCGGTCCTAGCTTCGGTCCGAATGCACCATCCCAAAGCGCTCCGCATCTTCGGATTCCTTCCCCGAACCTGTTCAATCACGCAGCTATATCTTGCTTCGTCATTCCGTTGTACTACATTCTGTAACTCAACACCTCGTTATTAATTTCCGCGCTACTTTGCTTGTTCGTTCATAACATCATTCGACGTGAAAGGTTGCCACGTAGCTCCATCCCCACGCAATGCATTCCTTGGGGCACTGGGGCAAAGAGACAAACCTGCACGTGGATGGAAATATGGCAGTGGGGGAGATACTGTTTGCGAGTTTGATCAGCTCCACGGCAGCACAATCCAGCCGCTCATTCCATGTCAGACATCGAGCCGCGGATAATTTCGATGGGTGACATGACGCGCCACAGAGCATTCAGCCACAGAAATCAGATTTCCCAGCAGGTGCAGACAGATGGACGGGATGGGATTTGCGGCGGATTCAGGAATCCGACACCGTGGATAGGACGCAGGACCACTGACTACCGTGCTTCAACGCACTGTAACGCACGGCACCATTCAGAACCACCGCCTGGCACGCTATGTTTCGTGAAACTACCCTCCAGAGCTAGTTTCTGGCCTGGAGCCCGCCTGGGGCCTGTGTCACATTCATTCCTCGTTCTCGCAGCCATTCTTCGAGTGTGCAGCTTCTGTGAGCTTCTGTTCCTCCCTTGGCTGCACACGCTGCGTGTTGCCCTTACTGCCGAGTGAGGAACGAAGCACGAAAGGCTACGAATTTGGCCGCAGAAGCTCTTCTCATAAGAATCTTGGTTCCCCGGAGTCCTTGACTATCCCAAGCGGCGTTTCTTAGTTCAAATACCGCTGCTGTTAGCGATCCTGCATCACCCACCTCTCGTTACTGTCACATTCTCTAGAGGGCAATCATGGCCGATAACCGCGTGCTACAGCCGGGGACCATCAACGCGAATGTGGAGAAGACGGTTTATGCGGTGCGCGGAGAGCTCTACCTGAGGGCGGCGCAACTTCAGGCAGAGGGGAAGGAGGTGAGCAATCGACTCACTGTAGTCACATTCGACAGAATGCAATCATGTATGCCAATCGCGTGGACCTCTAATTAGGGGGGACAAGGGTGAGCGTGCAATTGACAACCGAATCCTGTTTAGCACCAAAGCAAAGAGCGACAGTATGCTAAGAGAGCGCGAATGTAACAAAGAGCGACAGAATTCTAAGTTTTAGAAGCGAGCATCGCACCTGGGAGAGGCTGGATACAAGCGAATGTGCATCGCACACCGTACGAAGAAAACTTTTGAGTCGACTCAAAAGTCAGTTCCATACGAAGAATGTAGGCAAGGAACGGCGAGTGGCAACGCGAATGTCGACGAATCACCATGCGATCGGAAGGCATGCTGCGGCCATACAATCTTCTGCTGTTCCTCTCTCTCCTCCCCCTCCACCCCACCCCCCCCCCCCCCGCCCCCAATTCCACCGTCTCCCCGCACTTCCCGCTCTGTCCCCATCCCACCCTCCCCCCACCCCCCTTCCTCCTCCCGCAGATCATATTTACGAATGTCGGCAATCCCCATGCCCTCGGACAGCTGCCGCTCACGTTCCCGCGACAGGTATGTGCGACACTCGCATGTGCGACAGGTATGTGCGACGCTCGTGTGTGCGATGGTTGTGTGCGACACTCGAATATGCGATTTGTTGGTGCGACACTCAACTGTAGCACTGGGATCGTCCTACAGTTGAGTGTGGGAGGGCTACAGGTCCATCCTGGGGGGTAATGGGTGCGCTACCCACCACAACAACACGCCCTTTTAACCCAGTCGGTAGCGGGCTGGGCCAACACGATTGAAGTGCACGACAAGGATTGTCGCATGTGCGACAGGTATGTGCGACGCTCGTGTGTGCGATGGTTGTGTGCGACCCTCGAATATGCGATTGAAGTGCACGACAAGCTTTGGCGAAGGACTCTGTCCGCCGTTCGCCTCCCAACGCTCCGCACCCTGCTTTCCCGCTAACAGATGTCGGAATGGTTCCGCCAATCACGTCGGATCCATTTTTCAACCCCTTCCCCCCCCCCCTCTCTCCCCCCCCCTCTTCCCTGGCCCTTGCGGCGGCCATTGCGGCGTTTTTTCCCCAGGTGATGGCGCTGCTGCAGGCGCCGTTCCTCATGGACCACCCGGACGTGGGCCGCATGTTTCCCGCTGACGCCATTGCACGCGCTAAGAAGTACCTCGCTTACACGTCGGGCGGCGTGGGCGCGTACAGCGACTCGCGGGGGCTCCCCGGGATAAGGAAGGAGGTTGCGGAGTTTATCCAAAGGAGAGATGGATATCCCAGGTACACTTTATACCCGCTATGGGATTGCGCTTGAAAGTGCCCTGGTTTGTACTTGCGGGGGTGTGGGCCGCGTACAGCGACTCTCGGGGATAAGGAAGGAGGTGGCAGACTTAATCCAAAAAAGAGATGGATATCCCAGGTACAGTACATTCCCGTTATAAGTCTGCGCTAGAATGCGCTAGAAAGTCAAAGGCCCGATTATGAGGCAAGGCCCTTGAGGCTATTTGCACAAGTATTTCTAAATACTTTTCGCTGCGCCGGAGGCGATAGTCGCCTAGAAGAATGTCAAAGGTATTGCAATGTGGGCGCGTACAGCGACTCTCGGGGACTGCCGAGGATAAGGAAGGAGGTTGCGGAGTTTATCCAAAGGAGAGATGGATATCCCAGGTACACTTTGCACCCGCTATAAGATTGCGCTTGAATGAAACCGGTTTGTGCTTCTGGGGGTGTGGGCGCGCACAGCGACTCGCGCGGGGGCCCGACGGGGATAAGGAAGGAAGGAGGCGACAGAGTTTATCCAGAGACGAGACGGGTACCCCAGGTACAATCTATACGCGCTATAAGGTTGCGCATGAGTGAAGCCTGGTGTATACTTGTGGGGGTGTGGGCGCGTACAGCGACTCGCGCGGAGGCCTGACGGGGATAAGGAAGGAAGAGGCAGAGTTCATCCAGAGACGTGACGGGTCTTCAAGTAGAGTCTATACGCGCTATAGAGCGACCCAGAGAGTATAGGCAAATGCTTCTTCCAACCCCATCTCCCCCCTCCCCTCCCTCTCGCCCGTCTCCCCCACCCTTCCCAACTGACCTTTTTTCCTCCTCACCAACGGCGCCAGCAAGGGGATGGGGCAGTCCCTTTCTCACCCCTTCCCCAACCCCCTCCCATGCTCCTCCCCCCTCCCCATGCCCCTCCCCCCTCCCCATGCTCCTCCCTCCTCCCCATCCTCCTCCCCCATCCCCTGCTCTCGCCGCCCCCCCCCCCCCCCCCTCTCCTCTGACCCCGTGCATATCTTCCTGACAGATGGCGCCAGCAATGCCATAGCGCAGTTCCTTCCCACCGCTCTGCCCCTTCTGCCCCCCCCGTACAGACCCTCCCCTTTCCCCACACCCCCTTTCCCCATACCTCCTTTCCCCACACCCCCTTTCCCCATACCTCCTTTCCCCATACCTCCTTTCCCCATACCTCCTTTCCCCATACCTCCTTTCCCCATACCTCCTTTCCCCATACCCCCTTTCCTCGTACCCCCTCTCCCCCCCCCTTCTTGCCCAGTGGCCCCGAGCACATCTTTCTGACGGACGGCGCCAGCAAGGCCGTGGTGCAGCTCCTGAACGTGTATTCCCCCCCCCCTTCCCCTCTATGCTCCGCTCTCCACTCACTCCTCTCCCCACTCACTCCTCTCCCCACTCACTCCTCTCCCCACTCACTCCTCTCCCCACTCACTCCTCTCCCCACTCACTCCTCTCCCCACTCACTCCTCTCCCCACTCACTCCTCTCCCCACTCACTCCTCTCCCCACTCACTCCTCTCCCCACTCCCCCCAGCGACCCCGAGCACATCTTCTTAACCGATGGCGCCAGCAAGGCCGTGGCGCAGTTCCTCAACGTGGTGATCCGCGACGAGAGGGACGGCATTCTTTGTCCTATCCCGCAGTACCCGCTCTACTCCGCCACCATCCAGCTGCTGGGCGGCACGCTTGTCCCGTACCTGCTGGACGAGGAGAAGGGGTGGGCGCTGGACGTGGAGGGGGTGAAGAAGGCGTGCCGGGACGCCAAGAGGCGGGGAATCAATGTGAGTGCGCATACCGAGGTGGCTAGCCTGACAAGCGGGGTAGCAGAGCACGCTCGTCCCCAAGGGTACCTCCTGGACGAGGAGCACGGGTGGGCTCTTGACGTGGCGGGGGCAGGAAGGCGTGCCAAGACGCCAAGAGGCGGGATATCAATGTGATGTGCATGGCGGAAAGTGGATGTGCAAGCACCAGAGGTGACTTTGGAACATGGGTGGGCTCTGGACGTGGCGGGCATTGAGTGTGAATGCGGGGAACCAACTGGGCAGTGCTTGTCAGAGCATCTCAAGAAGCTTGAGAATCTGTGCCTGCCTGCTGCCCCCACCCCCCAGTGTCCTCACCCCCCTGCGCCCTGGTGTTTATCAACCCAGGCAACCGCACCGGGCAGTGCGTGTCAGAGCACAACCTCAAAGAGCAAGTGAGCGTGTGCCGGCTGCTTACACCCGATCCCCTCCTCCCCACCCCCCTTCTCTCCCCACCCCCCTTTCTCTTCATGTTCCCTCCTTCCATCTCACCCCCGCGACAACAGGTCAGGGCCCTGGTGTGTATCAACCCATGCAACCCCACCGGGCAGTGCCTACCGGAGGGAAACTTCAAAGAGCTCATGCGCGCGTGCCGGCCGGGTGCTTAGCCGCACCCGGGCACGCCCAAGTCCACCTCCGCTCATCCTTCCCCTGCTGCTTCCACCCAACCCCCTTCCCGCATCGTGACCCCATAACCTCAGGTCCGGGCATTGGTGTTTATCAACCCAGGCAACCCCACTGGTCAGTGCCTATCAGAGGGCAATCTCAAGGAGCTCTTGAGCGTGTGCCTGCTGCTATCACCCCTCAAACTTACCCTTTCCCCCTCCCCCTCCCCCTCCTCCCCCCCTGACATATCCAGGTGCGCGCCCTTGTATTTATCAACCCCGGCAACCCCACCGGGCAGTGCCTATCGGAGGACAATCTCAAGGAGCTCGTGAGCGTGTGCCTGCAAGAGAGGCTCGTTCTTATGGCGGACGAAGTGTACCAGGAGAACATATACCAGGACGAGCGGCCATTCATAAGCTCGAAGAAGGTGAGTAACGGCCATGGTGCATCCTGTAACACCTGTCTTGGTTACCACTCTGGTGCTGGTGGCCTGGCATGTCAAGTGTAACAGGAGAACATCTACCAGGGCGAGCGGCCGTTCATCAGCTCTATAAAGGTGTGTAACGGCCATGGTCCAGGCTGTAACACTTGTTCTGGTAACCACTCTGGTTCATACGGCGCATGAAGTGTACCGGGAGAACAGCTCCCGGGGGGAGCGGTCGTTCGTCAATTCAAAGAAGGTAAGTGGAGGAGGGAAAGAGGACCCCACTTTACAACCCGGCACCCCCCTTCCCCCTCTCTGCTCCCCTTTCCCCCTCTCCTCAGGTCCTCATGGACATGGGCCCATCCGTTTCCTCCTCCAAGGGGCCGTTCGGGGAGTGCTGTGTGCTGGTGTGTTGCCTGATGTCCTTGCATTCCTCTTATCCATCCCGCCCCTCCTGCCGTCAGGTGCACATGGACATGGGTCCATCCGTCTCCTCATCCATCCAGCCCACCTCCTGCCACACCGTCTCCAAGGGGCCGTTAGAAAGCGGCTCATGTGATTATCTGTTCTGTTCCACCCCATCTCTCCCACCCTCCCTCTCCCCTCCCCTTTTTTAAGGTCCTCATGGACATGGGCCCGTCCGTTTCCTCCTCGCTCGAGCTCGTCTCCTTCCACACTGTTTCCAAGGGGCCGTTCGGGGAGTGCGGGCAGCGGGGCGGGTACATGGAGCTGACCAACATCCACCCGGCAGTAGTCGAGGAGCTCTACAAGATGTCGTCTATTAGCCTCAGCCCCAATGTCAATGGGCAACTCATGGTGAGTTGCCTTAAGTTGCCTTGAGTTTGCTCCTCATGTAGCCACACAGAGGGGTGGGTATATAGGGGCGAGGACCCTGTTAGCTTGGCCCAGCATCAACACGATTAGGGGCAGTCGTAGAGCCGGGGAGTGCGGGCAGCGGGTCGAGTGCATGGAGCTGACCAGCATCCACCCGGCAGTGGTTGAGAGCTCTACAAGATGTCCTATTATCAGCCTGAGCCCTAACGCGAGCGGGCAGGTGATGGTGAGGCTGTTACAGAACCCTTGAGTTCACTTCTCATGCAGCCACCACACCGAGGGGTGGGTGCATGGATCTGTCCAGCATCCACCCGGCAGTGGTGGAGGAAATGTACAGGATGTTGTCTATTAGCCTGACGGCATGGAGCAGACCAGTTTTGAGGCGCCTCAAAAGACGGCATGGTGCTGTGTCATTGTCTCTACCAGATGGGGCCGATGGTCAACCCCCCAGAGGACGGGGGTCGTCATGTGAAGAGTCTATTTTTGAGGCGCCTCAAAAATAGACCCCCCAGAGCACGGGGGTCGTCATGTGAAAACACCGTTCCCAGCTTCCCTGTGTGGCTCCCGTGCCCTCCTCCCAACCCCACACCATGTGCCGTGCTCCGTTGTCCCTTCCAGATGGGGCCGATGGTTAACTCCCCAGAGCACGGGGATCGTGTTTTGAGACGTCTCAAAACACAACCATCCCAACTCCCGCCTGCCTCCCGATTGTGTGTTGCACTGTTCTCTTTTCTCCCTTCCAGATGGGCTTGATGGTCAACCCCCCAGAGCACGGCGATCCGTCCTACCCACGATACACAGCAGAGAGGTGAGCAACTGACACGTGGCACAGCCATTCTCGTTGCTCAAGCAGCCGCATGACACATGACACACCACATGACCCGCGGCACATGCAGCACATGACACGTGGCACATGCAACACATGATACAGGGCACATGCAACACATGGCATGTGGCACATGCAGAACATGCGTGGCACATGCAGAACATGCGTGGCACATGCAGAACATGCGTGGCACATGCAGAACATGCGTGGCATATGCAGCACATGACAAGTGGCGTGGCCCTTCTCCGCCGCCCCATCCCCTCCCCTCACTCTGCCTTCTCACCTCCCAGGAAGGCAATCCTTGACTCGCTGAGGAGGAGGGCCCACGCCATGACTGACGGCTTCAACACATGCCAAGGCGTGGAGTGCAATTTCACAGAAGGTACGACTTAACCTCACGGCTTGAACCCTGATTCTAGGGTTCAGGGTTCAGAATTCAGGTTTTAAGGGTTCTTTCTGGGTGTGATTCTAGGTCCGCAAATCTTTCTGGCCGCTCTGCAGCCCCTTGGCGCTCCATCCCCCATTGTCTGGATCTACATGATGCGCCATCGGCTGAGCACTCTCCACCCTTCGCCCCCCCTCCACACACCCCCACATTATTCCTTCAGACGCAATGTATTCCTTCCCCCGCGTGCACCTCCCTCCGGCTACCATCGCTGCGGCAAAAGCAGCCAGCAAGGCGCCCGACGAGTTCTACTGCACCTTCAAGCCCCCCCCCCCCCCCCTTCCATTTCCTTCTTCTCTTTCCGTCCAGGTGCAATGTACTCGTTCCCCCGCGTGTACCTCCCCCCTGCTGCCATTGCGGCGGCGAAGGCAGCCGGCAAGGCGCCCGATGTGTTCTACTGTCTGCGGCTGGTGGAAGCTACTGGCATCTCCACCGTGCCTGGATCTGGGTTCGGACAGAAGGAGGGGTGAGTTGAATACAGGGCTGGGATGGGCTGGGAGAGAATGCTGGGTGGGGAAGGAGCGGCCAGCTGGCAAGGAGCCCAATGTGTTCTACTGCCTGCGGCTGGTGGAAGGAAGGTGAGTGAGCTGGGGTGGGAGGGGGAGGGGCCTTGATACACAAGGCGCCCGATGTGTTCTACTGCCTGCGGCTGGTGGAGGCTACGGGCAGCTCAACTGTTCCTGGATCCGGATTTGGACAGAAGGGTGAGTGAGGTGGGGGTGGAGTGTGTTGACAGGTGGAGGGGGGAACAGGGGCTGATAACTAGAATCCCCTGACGTGTTCTGCTGTGTGCGGCTGGTGGAGGCTAAGAGCAGCTCAACTGTTCCCCGATCCGGATTTGGACAGAAGGGTGAGTTTGGGGCAGGGGCGGGTGAGAGGGGGCCTTGATTCCCCAGGCGCCTGATGTGTGTTACTGCCTGAGACTGGTTGAGGCCACAGGCATCTCTACTGTTCGCGGTTCTGGATTTGGGCAGAAGGAGGGGTAAGCTGACAGGATGGGAGTGAGATTGTGGAGGACCCGTTTTGTTATCCTGACTCGAGCTGTAGGGGTGACTTTTGAGTCGACTCAGAAGGTAGGGTGAGTTGACAGGATGGGAGTGAGATCTGAGTCGTGGAGGACCAGTTTTGTTACCCTGCCTCCATCTGTCGGGGACTAGCACCGGGAGTTCTGCAAGGATAGCGTGAGTGGCATGGGCTGTTTTGAACGAAAAAAAAGGGGTCCGGCAGATCTCCAGATGTCCGCAGCTTTCCTGGGCTCAGGGTATGAGAGTGAGTAGGTGGTATGGAGGAGTGAGGAGGGTGAAGTAAGGAGTGTGAGTCAAGGGACAGGTTGCAGGTCTAAAGTGGAGGGCACAACCGATACGGAAAGGTAGACACGCAGAGTATTTGCTCCTTTTCCTCAACATCTACTTTGCCTCCCCTCATTATTGTCACCCTGCAGCACCTTCCATCTGCGCACAACTATCCTGCCGGCCGAGTCCAAGATGCCAGAGATCATGCGCAGTTTCCAGAGATTCCATTCCGATTTCATGAAGAAATACGGCGGCAAAGCCAAGCTCTAGATATATTTGTGCCTAGGCCCTGGTACATAACTTATGGCTGGCATGTGTTCCATCTCTCTCAAATTTTTGGTTTCCTTTCAATGTAGCTGAGCTGACATCTTGTTCATTCTGGTATATCATTTGGCGCCCCCCTACTTTCCTCTTCTGGCTAAACTGAGTTACTGTTGGCATCCATAGGGTACTCATGCTTTCGTCTGGCATTCACATGTTATGCTGGTATGGGAACTGGGATTCTCATTTGAGTTCAGACCTTTCATTTCTCCTATCTGAAAGGTGACAGAAGCCTAGGTCGTGAGCAGTGTCAGTGAAGGGAACGGAACAAAGAGGGAATGGAACGGAATGTAATCAAGACCAGCCAACAGAAGCCTGTTAGGGAAGAGGCCAACGAAGGCAACGGTGTTTGACAAATAAATTCAGATTTCATGAAAAGTCTGTCGTTCACAAGTGTCCAATGAACACTACACTAGGCATGGGTCCTTTGAGCTGAAGGTCCACGAGGTAGTGTTCATACCAGCCCACTGGCCCTGCACACACACACACACACAAACTGAAACTAGAGCTTCCCGCTCTTACCCTTCAGGGCCCTGAAAAAGGACCCGCTCCTACCCCTACATCCGCAACAGACGGAATGCTGCGCACCGCGATGGACACTGGCCCGCCAAGCCAGGGCTTGTCCATTGCTTATTCGACGAAATTTCATCTGTGAGTGTCGGTGCGGGTTGGGCCTGACATGATGTCGTCCCAAATCTCGTCCCACTCGTCTCGTTGCGACGGTCTCCTCCTTTCAGGACTCGCGAATCTGGTCGTCGTTCGCGGTGGCGATCGAGGCCTGTCAGGTATCGTGTCAAGCTGCGACAGCGCCGTCTGTAAAGAAAAGCATGGCATATTTGTCAGTCGTGAAAAAAAAAAATGTGGAGACCGGCATGAATAAAATATAAAAAACGAGGAATCGATGAGATTGTCGTTCTGAAGAGCGTACCTGATAAGCATTGTGAATCTCCATAAATTTCGACGAAGCTCCAGTTGAACGATTTGTGTCAGGATGGAACTGCAGATATCGGAGAAAAGCAACACCGTTAACATATGCGGAAACAATACGGATACTGTAAAGTTTTCACATTACAGTGATGCGTAATAACATTAAGGAAATGAAAAATACGTTACGCGTGCTTACTGTTCGTGCGAGTCGTCGGTACGCCTGTCGGACTTCGTCCTTCTCAGCTCTCGCAGAGACGCCTAAGATCTGGAAGCAGTCATTTGCAATCCGTCGCTCTGGTCGTCCCCTCGAATATGACGAGGCTTGTGCTTTCACCGGCGAGCGGAACCGCTGCGGCGATGGCTGGGGAGCTCTGAGTGGGCTAGGCTGCACCCTATTCTGGTTAGGCTTGGGTTTTCCTCCCCATTCAATAGAGTTTTGCCTTCGGAGAGGAGGAGGCGGCGACGGAAAGCGAACCACGCTCGCCATCAGGACGCAAGACGGAGACTAGCACAGGAACTAGATATTGAAGTTTGAACTGGAACTGACTATCTTGAGAACTGGTGCTCGGAAACTCAAGAAGTGAGTGAGCTGTGATTCTAAGAGATCGGTGAGAGCTGCTGTATGGGTGCTGAGTTAGTAGATCTCAGTTGATGCAGGTCTTCAGATGCTGACTATATGAGAGAGCAGTTGGTGAATCAGCTGACAGGCTCTGGCTAATGTTGCTATGCTGGAAATGGAATGGGAGGGATGATGATGATAAAAGGACCTGACCAAGTTGGAAGTTCCCAGGGGGATTCAAAAAGTGCGCTACTTTACAGCCTTCCCGCCAAGGGTCAGAGGAGTTGAAGTCGTTGCGCACCTGCCCGCCGGATATCACGGCAGAGTTTCTGGGAGAATAAGGGAGCAAAAACGCAGTTTGCCCCAACGCAACATCGGGCTGACGATCGAATTGCGCGGGGGTTTGAGGGTCAATGGGGTGCACAAGCCGTTACAACGCGCGAATGTTTATGCTGTTTAGCTGGGCAGCCAAGTCAAAAAAATCGAATGTTTCAAATTTTCCCGCTTTATGGCCATACCTTGAAGAAGTTGCCCGCAGGCACTGAATCGACCAATCGACCGCTGTTATCCCACCAACAAACAGAGCGCTGACAAAAGCTCAGCGATTCGTAATGTCTAAAGCAGAGCATCAGTGTATTCTGGCAGAGTTTTGGCATTTAGGCGAGCTATAAAATGTATACCTGTTTGATATTCACTACTAATTAGGCCCCTAGATTGGTTTTTAGGAGCCCTGATTGGTCAGGATCCCCCCTGAGTTTTTCTATGAATTTTCAGGGTTTTTCTCGAAAATATTCCGCGGGAATCAGGACTCATGGAGTTTTTTTCTTGAGAAGACAGAGTTACTTATGGGATCTTTCTTCATTCTTTGGAGGTCCTTAGCGCATGCTTTAGTAGCGAATCCATACGTGGAGGGTGAATTGGGTCAGGCGGGCGAGATTGCAGGGGCCGAGGGAAATTTCACCTGTACGAAACTCCAAGGCACACATCAGGCTCAAAATTTGGCTAAGGGCCAAGTGCCCTCCCTCCCTCACGCATCGAGCCACAAATTTGGTGAAGGGCCAATAAGCGCCCTCACAGACCCTACAGTGCGGGCCAGAACCTCGGAAATCCCTGCAGCCCCCCCAAGTCAAGCATTGACGGAAACAGGTACAGTTTCGTTACACAGGTGAAATCTTAGGATTCATTGCGACGTCGTGGCTGGGATTTCGCTGCAAGAATGAAAGGTCATGCAGCGCGTCGAATTGCGTGCTATAAGCGAGTGCTCTTCATTTTGTGCCAATCACATGCGAGCATGCAATTTCATATGCATGCCAAATCTACTTCCGGGACAGTGCCGTTTCAGACGAAAAACAAGGGGCCACAATACTTAGCCGATTTTTGAAGCTTTCTCTTTCAAGTTGGACAAGCCTTTGCTATTTTAGCTTGGGGATTTAAGGAACCTTTGCTCTGAATTCAGAGTTGACCCCCCACAAAAAGGCTGAAAAAACATGACGTGCCTTTAGAAAAATCCTTCACAATCAGGACTGGTACCATCAACAACTCTGTTTTTTTCTAGAATCAGGAAAACTTTTCTGCAATCTAGGGGCCTGCTACTATAGTAGGAGTAGCTGGATGTGAGAACAAAACCCTGAACTAGAAGTTTTACAATATAGAAAAAACAATTTGGGTGTATCAAGGAAGCTTTGCCAACACAACAAGCAAAAATTCTGAAATGACTATGTGGTGGTTTATTGAGTACCTAGTATTGGAGTAAACCACGCGTTTAGGGTGGTCACGATCAAGAGTTGGTGGAATCAAGCGTAGAATTCAGCGGAATACTTTACATCTTGCAAAGAAAATATTCGAAATAACAAGGATAATAATAATGGAAAAATGCATATGTATAGTATAGAGCAGGGCCTATTTTATCAGAGTAATTTACTATATTTCTATGAAAATCAGAGTCGTTTTTGAAAACTACTCGAGGTGCCCTGAGTAAAAAAATTGAGGTTTTATTTTACTCTGATTATATAAGAGTAACCATTTGTACCCCTCTGAGGGTTAGTGTATAGGGCGTATACCTGTAGATTTCCCCTGTACCCCGTACCTGGTCATGCCCCAATATCCCGCCAAACGCGTCATTTTGCGCGTACCGCTAGTCAGTGACACGTCATATGCTGCCATCCTTGCCACTGTAGACAGCATCCTTCGCGCTAATTAGTCAACACTGCAGCATCATTGCAAGGCTCGCAGCGGTTCCCTCACCACCGCGCGCCGACCTTAGCCACCATCCATGCATGCACGACCTCACTCACTCCCTCACCCACTCTGAGGCACCCCACAATTCACTCACCCCCCAAGAAGAGCAGACGAAACCCTCGTCTTGTTCAACCTTCCCTTCCTCCCCTTCACCAAATATGTCTCTCACACCTTTCTTGCAGAAGAAAACCTCCGCTTACCTTCGCCGTCGCTGCCGTCCGTCGTCACTCATGCCATTGCCGCCATGGCTGGCACGGGTGAGCATGACGATGGCGGTGGCGACGAGTCTCTCCCTTTGCAAACTCCTAGTTCTCTCCCTCTTAGCGGGCTCGACTTTCTCCGTCGAGTTGCTATCGCTCCAGTTGAGCCACAGCCTCTGCCTTCTCTCAGTAGTGAGGAATGGGACAGAAATTTAGAGGCTACGGTCGATGCTGAAGGTCCTGTCGCCGAACCTTCAGCTGTACCTATTGTCTCTGCATCAACTCCAGCGTCCACATCAACGGCAACCACTCCAGCCTCAACTTGTGCGTCTGCTTCGGAAAGGAAGCGTCGCTTCAACCAGACTCATCTCCCGTTCGCGCCGCCTCCCCCTCAGCCTCCGCCACCACCAGAGCCAGAGCCTGTGCCACAGCAAGTGCCATCGGCTGCTTTAACCCCCGCTGAGAAGAGGGTGAAGGCCTATCTTGCCGTGCAACGGAAGTATATTACCGATTGGTTACCGAAATTCTCCTGGCTAGTGCTGGATAAGACTAACGATGGTGCCGCTTGCTTGCGTTGCAGTATCTGCATGGAGCACGGCAAAGACCATGCATGATACGGGCGCAAGGGTGCTGGTGGACGGGATCTCCAGATCGGCTCGATGCGTTGGCATAAGGAGGGCACGAAGCACGAGAACGTCGTCAAGAAGCAAGAGGCGCTGCTGAAGGAGGTCGAGAATCAGAAGAAAATGGAGGACTTCGCGAAGCACGTCCCTGACGGTGCGAAGATCATTCGTCTACTTCGAACTATGCTGTTCATATGCAAGGAGGATGCCTCGATCGCCATGTTCACGCAGCTCATCGGGTTCATGGCAGAGGAGGGTGTCAAGGAAATTCCGAGACAGAGTTATGGCGTCTACATCACGCATTAAGTACCGGGGTGGCTCATGGTGTTTCGTACTCATTCTTGGTGAAATTGTGACTGCTCTGCTGTTGTATTAATCATCGAGCTAATTCTGGCTTATCCATGCCCTTTCCAAGTGCAGATATGGCTTCAAAGAAATGGTGCACGCAATGGTAGCGTACTTGAAAGCACAACAGATGCAGCATACCACGCATCACCCTTCATCGGATTGAGCTGCGACAAGTCAACTGACAGCACCCGTGTCAAACATCTCATCGTCTTCGCAACGTTCCTGAAGAAGCGGCGAGTCGTCACAGACGGCATTACTCGGGCACCTGG